ATTCGCAAGCTCAGTAAATTTTGATTGACATAGGAATTGTGTGTGTGTGTGTGCGTGTGTGTGTGTGTTAACTTGGATTTGGTATGGGGAATGTGCTGCACAAATAACTCCGCAACACCTCAAACAACAGTCGAAAAGAGTCGCATTCCACTTAAATTATTCATTCGAAGCGTTCTGGAATGCAGCACACATGCAAATGCGAATGCAAATCAATTGCAAGGGGGATTCACTCGATGCCGACTAATGAATGCATAGTAAGTATCAGTCGATGAGGGACGGAGCGGGGAGCTCAGTCGTGCATAACAATTCTTGTTTCTAACTAATATCTAAGCGAGCTTCTAAAGAAAAACCCTATGAGTATATGCATGTGTAATAGGTATTATCTTAGATAATATGCTGCGTTTAGATTTCAAGTGAAATCGAAATCTGAAATCTATATACAAAATCATTTCATCAGTAGAAGACGTATTGGATAACAGTTCAATTTGCGGAATTCAGTTATCCGGCTTATATAAGTAAATCGACAAATGTTGCTGAGAAAAAAAAATAAAACAAGGAGTAAATCATTGTTGGCTTAATATAGAATTTTCCAAGCATCTTGAACTAATGATCAAGAATTTTGTCGTTTAGTAACAGTCATTAAAGGTACGATTTGTTGCAACATAGAAATAAATGTTGCCACGCTCTGGCAACAATGTTGCAGCACTCATGCGATAAGTGTACTCAAAGCTCAAAACCAATTCGCACTCAAGATGCCACTCAAAACTTGCTAAGCACTCAAGAGAGCAGCGCGAGAGAACTTCAACACGCTTCAACTCGCTCAAAAAGCTTCAGAAAAACCGGTGAATGCAAATATTTGTGAAATAGATTGACAGAGACTGAGAGAGAGCGAAGCTCTCACACGTTGTGTACATGCATACATACGTATGTATGTATGTATGTACTTTTATGAATTTCACAATTTGGCGCGAAGCAACTGGCTTTGAGTAAAAATATCTATTATACTCGATTTGCTTGGAGAAGATAATGGCACATGCCGGCAATGGGGCGGCAGCGGCGCCAACGTAGTACTCACAGTCGTAGTACTCGTGCACGTATGTTAATACATACATACATACATACATACATATGCATTCGTGGAGTAGTAAAAAGCTCCCATTGTTGACTATTGCGCCAAAAGTGCAAACACAAGCACAGACAAAAGCGCAGTGTCAATTGCTGTGCTGGTGGCCAGGCAGGCTACGGGGCGTGGCGCTGCAGTCTCTGCCAACGTCAGCGTCAGCGTTAGCGTCTGTGTCAGCGTTGTCTATCCACACAGCATTTGGCGACCTCGTGGCGTGGGCGAGGGCGAGGGCGTGGCAGTAGGCGAGGGTTAAGCACGTAACATGCTCCCTTCTTTTCTGTTTGTGTGAATGTGTGTGTAAAATGTCTGTGTGTGTGTCTGTTCTTTGGCTATGCGATGGGCTGAAAGCAAAAGTGACCGTTAGCTGGTGTCTGGCTTTGGGTGTGTGTGTGTGTGGGTGTGTGTGTGTTGTTGCTTTTGCGATTGCCCAAAAATGCAGACAGAGCTAATTGCAACTTGCACGACCTACATCAAGAAGGGGCGTAGGCGGGTAGCTGCGGGGGGAATATATGTACATATGTATGTACATATACATATATATGAAAGATCTCCTTTTCAAGTGGCTTGCTTATACTCTTTCATACCCTATACTAAACTAAAGTATATTGCAAATGTGCAAATATATGCATGTAAACATTGTTTTTATATTTTTTTCTTTTTGGCCACGCCCAGGGCAAAACATCGTAGGCGTAGTTTTATTTGTGTTCTTTTCGATAGTAATCTTACACACACACACACACACACACACAAAGGCAGACTATGTGTTTGGCTCGTATAACTGCTACGAGGCGAATTGCCTAAATTTATAATTTGACATTTATGCATATTTTATGATTATTTATTACGTTAATTTTTGATTAAAACTGAAGTCTGCTCGGCGGGCATACCCAGCCCCATCGCTGCCCGCTCAACCATCCATCCCCCCCACCCCTTTTCCCACCCAGTTGTATCTCAATTCATGTGCGACATTGTGACGGCTTGTTTGGGAGAGAAGTGAAGTTCATGATCTTGAAACTGAACACGAATTGAAATGGAAGCAGGGCAGAATGTTGACTCGAATGATAATTTATTGCACTTCACGAATATACCCTGTACTGTAAGGTAATGGCATTACACCCTGTTAGAAGCGTAGGCGCTGCTTTTAATCGATTTGGATATACGTTGCAGGGTATCGCCTGGTCGAGCAGTCTCGACCACTTTCGTTACTTTGTCTTTATTTTCAAGGAATCGTTTATCTTAATACGAATAGATCTTAGAGCAGGTATACCTAGAGGAATGCATAATCGCATAGCTGAAGTACTACTTAAGATCAAATATATTTAAATATATATACTTATTTGTATAAATGACTTTATATGTCTGTATATGTGGCTTCCGCATAGAAACGCAGACACTTCCAAACGTTGATTAACAAAATATTTGTCTCTACACCGTGAGACCTTGTAGCATGCACCTATCTCTATAATATACTCTCTAGAAATATTCTTGGGGTATCTACAAAAAGCGTTGCTCAGTTCAAGCAGCAGGCGCATAATCAATATGTTGTATACCTTGTGCTCTAAATTCTATTCCTATTTTGTAGATAGTATTACTATAACAAACATTATCAGGCATTAGAAATTGAATGTACTTAGTTCTCACTACGTGCATTCGATGCCCTAACAGTGTGTGTGTGTGTGTGTGTGTGTGTGCGTGTGTGTGTGTGTGTGTGAAGGCATTCAGGTTTTATAGTTTTATATAGAGACAATCGGAAGCAATCCTTGAATGGAATATTGATTGATTGATTAATATGTACTGGAGCTTTATAAATATCTATAAAAAATGTTTTTGTTTTTTTCAGATATCTTTAACAAGCCCGACAACTACGACCTGCAATGTACTCTGCAAATAAAGGAAAATCCCGGTACATGAGATTTTCATTAGAAAACACATTCAAATAATGAAATATAGGGTATGCCATGCAAGGGTATTCCATTTTCGGCGACTTTTTCTTTCGTGTATATATCAGAAAGGGTATTCAATCTTCGGCAATTCAAAGACTTCTTTCCAGTTTGCGCGCTTTGAATGAGTTTTCCCGAGTTACATCTTTTGTATATTTGATAAAATGTATCTGTAAATAACTTTTTAAACTTCTTAGACAACATACCCTGTAAGAGAACATTTTTCATTGAAGTCCTAATTCATTTTTGTTCTCCTTTCTTTTTCAGTATAAAGTCGTTGGAACTATCAAATGTGAAAATTGTCAGCTGTGCAGTGTCAGATAAATTGAATCCCTAAGCAGTTGCTGATGCCGTTTACGATGCGCCTTTTATGTCCAACTCGATCCATTTTTGCCATTAGGAAAAGTTGTACTTTCCTTTCATCCAAATGGCCAGCAGACGCCAGACAGGGCGTAACTTGTCCAAAGTAAAATACAAAATAAAATAAAACTAAAGTGCAAATGTAAGAAAGCCTGAGAATAAATTATATTTTAAATCTGATATTATTGGGTTGATTTTCCTTTGAAGTGATTTACTGTCCGACATTAAATACTTAATTTGTGTTCTTATGAACACGACCAAATGAATCACACATTCATTTTTGTGCAGACATACATACATAGTGTATATATACAGTGTATATATTTTCATGCTTTGTATACTCTGTAGACTGCTTTCAAGATATCTGCTATAGTACTTAATTATACTCTACGAATTTATTTGAATATATGTGTATTTTAATTGGATAATGCAGCAAGAAGCATTGTCACACAATGTTGTCGCTGAAACGGCTGCAACCGACTGCATAATACCCTTTTGCAGCACTTGATAGCATATTTGTTAAGAATTTGTTAAGAAAAAGATGTGTGTATGTACTTAATCTGTTCGTTAGTCAATTTGTAAACCAGAACGCGGATAGTTTTCAGTTTCCATTCTGTTTTCCCATGTTTTTCCTTTGCTCTTCGATTTGTGCTCAGGTTTCAGACTCTGAATCCGATTCCGATTTCGATTCCGATTCGATACCAATGCGCCGGCATTCGATATGTCGTCTAATTCACATTTGTTTACTTGTCCAGCTTCGTGTTGTTGTTGTTGTTGTTGTTGTTGCTTTTCCTGTGTAATGTATTCTGTTTGTTTATTTTTTCCGCTGGCTTTGTTTTGTTTATATTCTCTTTGCTGTACGTTTTTTTTTTTTATTTTTTATTATTTAATTCTTTTCCTTTTTTCATTTGAACTGCAGTTGCAGTGGTTGACGTAGTGCACTTTGCCCTCGTCTCTGTCACGGTCTTGTCTCCGTCTCCCTTGCTCCTGCTGCTTGTCTGCGTTTTGCAAATTGAGATGGCTGCGCCGCTGCCGTCGCTGCCGCAGCCGGCGTTGCGACGCGTCGCTGCCAAAGCTGCCGGCGCTGCAAATGTCAGCACATGCCGGACGTTATACTATCCGTAGGCATACCCAACAGACAAGATGCACTCGCGGGGTATATTACTTCAATTGCGCCGCAGCCTGGCGCCTTTTACCAAAGCCGAAGTAAATAATTTATTATTTAAATAAAATATTCCAAATACTTCCCTCAAGCATTTATAAAATTTACAGCAGTATAATAAATATTATAAAAAAAAAACTATGTAGTTACTTTAAGATAATTTGTAAGACATCGAAAGCAATCCAAACTCAGTTGGCAGTAAAATATCAGAATAGGAAATATCAGTGTATTCAATACGCTGCGTATAAATTTACAGGGTATATTGCTTGTTGTTTATGGTTTGTTTGAGACTCGCGCATATCAATGCTTGTTTCTGTTCGTTCGCTTTGCCTTATCAGCATTAAATGTGGGAACTAACCTGCCTGTTTGCAGTTGAGCCAAGGGGGCGTGGCGCCGCCTCTTTTAAAAGAAAAGCAGTGTGAAATTTCATGCATTGACATTTGCGTTTCGTGCACTGCCCAAACCCAACTTTACGATTAAGCGACGCGTGAGCAAAAAAGAGGAGCACGACTTGGAGATACCCCTGGCCGAGATGCCGTATCAGAGGACTTCGAGCTGTCTTCTCATCATATGTAAGTATATACACAAAAGCTAACATCGGTGAAGCCCCAAACTTAACTGTGCTATTTTCTTCCCATATTGATTAGAGCTGGTTCTTATAGTCCGATCTTTGAGTACTTTATAACCAAGCGAAAGTCCCAAGGTTTAAAAGCAAGTTAATATTCTGAATTTGTTTACTCAGTTTTTTGCAATCTATCTTTAAATCGATATTTTATGCCCTGCGTACTGTATAGGAGGATGTACATATATTTCAAGTTTTAAGATTTTTACTCTTTCAGTTTCAGAGATCGACGAGTTCACACAGACAAGCAGACATGGGTCGGAGTTGATTTCTTATGTCTGTTACATACGTTTGCACAAAAACTCCATACCCTTTTTTACCTCATCTTATTGCCGTGTCCAGAGTCAAAAAGTTACAAAAAAGCAAGCAAGAAACTGTACATAGGGAAGAGATGGCCGCGCCTTGCCACCTGGCACCGAAAAAGAACTGATAAGTGCACCCACTAACCCTTTGGGCAGCGCCGCTCTCCCCTCTGAGCACGCAATCCTTGATGCTTTAATTCGCACTGCTTTACGTTGCTTCCCTTGTTAGAAATACAGCAATGTACAAGATTTCATTAATGCCAATAGGGTCTGCACTCGACTCGTTACTCGTTACTCGCCAATCGCCGCTCGCCACTCGCTAATCGTCTGCCAGGTGATTCGGACTGAACGGCACGTATGTAAATGCTTCATTGCCCAGCCGCCACACATGTGTGTATTTTCTACACTAACTGGCAGCACTGCAATAAGCTCAGGTACAGTTATGCACGGTTACGGGCAGTTAAGCCGTCTGGCAACGCATTGTAATGTTCATATTTTGCATATCGTACTTATGTTTATACTCTGTTTACAAAGCGAAGTGAGTATATTGGATTGTCGCACATACTCTTTTATGTATGTTTATATGAAAATATATCTTTTTGTAATTTAAGAACTAGATTCGCCAAATGAAGTAAAATTAAGACTACTTATTTATTTAGATAACGATATCTCTTGATGACATTGTTGGGTAACCCAGTCCACGGTGTTTATGGACTATGGTGGGTATATCACAGTCTTGTATACCCAACTGCAATATTCCTATTTGCATATAAATATGTTAATACGGAACCAGCATACCCGCAGCTGCATTTGTCACTGGCTTTTATAATGCACAATATTTATATGCAAATATCTGACACATTGACCGGATTTGGTTCAACACGCCCGATAATAGTTATCAGCTAGTAGCATATGTGAACCCCTCCTCTGCCCCACACAGAGCCAATAAATAAACTTTACGTATTCACATTCATAAACGTACATAGATATGTTCAAATATTAGGTAATGTATCCGAGAACGTTAAGGCGCACATTTTCTCTGAAACATTTTTTGTTTGCATTCATTTTTGACGCTCTAGGCGGAATGCCTTTTAAGCGGACACGGACAAATGATATGCAAAAAAAAAGTCGCAATTATATTGAATATTTCCGCGAATAAAGAATCCAGATCCTGAGCTTGTCACTGATTGTTGGGTAGCAATGCTAAAGATACTCATCTTTTTGTATATCTGATTTTTGTGAATTCTCATATCGTTTACATTTTAACTTTTGTTAATTAATCTACTTCATTCTCAGTTAATCTAAACAAAATTATAAAACCGGCCATTGGGCGGGCACTTCTCTTGAGCGGACAAAGATGATCTGACGAAGCGAAACCCGCGGGTTCGAGCCTCCGTGTTGACATAAGACCTAAAAACTATGTATTGTGGCATCGTAATTGGGGAAAGGGCATTTATAGTTGTGCTGTGCCTAGGAATAGCATTGTCAGAGTTGCCTATGATTGATGCGATCTTTGATTTCCGTCGATTTTGTATTGATTTATTGACCATGTTATCGATATTTCAAGTCATAATTCGGCTTGGTATTAAAGGATATTGCAGCCAGCGTAAAACAATTTCAGATTTGACAGCAAATATCCGTAGTCGAAGAGTATGGAAAAGTATTCATATTAAAAGTGATTGCTATGCAAGCACTTCGTTCGATTAACCAACTAAAATTCCTCGATAATTTGAGCTGTAATCGATTTCCAAGAGAGACAAAGAGTAGCTGCGATTCGACTGCGACCGATCGAACGCGGCTTCCACTTGTTGCCACTCGAAACAGAAAAGCAAATTTGCAATTTGCCAACAGCCTTTGAGCTAGTATAATAGCTCGTTTTCGCTGCTGCGCTATTTGTTGTGTCTCCCATATGTCCGGGCTGGGCAATAACAACTGAAACAGATGCCAAAGTCAAGTTCATATTTCAATTTCAAGGTTTTGGGTAAACATTTGCTAATAAGCAAATACAGCGAAATATCAGCAGTACAGGTAAACTGCAAAGAGTGTAAAAAAATATAAATAAACAAATAGAAAGCAAATGAAAATGAAAACTGAAAAATTAAACAGAAATAAATGACGGAAACACAACGACAGCAACCCAACCACAAGAACAACAACAAAGCCATGTTTCCCTCTCAAATGTTATAAGTTCCTTGTAAAAAACTCATTAAAAATGTCAATTTAGATCACGTCTGTTTTATCGTATATCAAATTTGAGTCTTTATAGATTATCTAAGCCTTAATATCAGATACCAGGCGTAACTTTGACTATCTAAAGCGAGCTTTCCGATGCGTGAGCACTTTATCAGAACAAGAAATACCTCATTTGATATGGTGTGATAATAGGTTAGATGTTAAGAATTCGATATGCTATTTTTAGTACTTACAGGTTTTCATTTACCATACCCTTTTGTTATGATACGTCTAGTTCTTAAGGGGGTTTCATTTAGCACAACCATTTGGTTAACATCGAGTCCATATTAAGTACTCCCTTCCACTTTGAATAGTTTCTAATGTAGCTCCTTTGCAAGGTTACAGGGTATATATCCCTATGGATATGATACCTCTAGTTGTTAAGGGGATTTCATTTAGCACAACCATTTGGCTGACATCGAGTCCATATTCAGTACTCCCTTCTACTTTGAGTAGTCCCAAACGTAGTTCGATAAGTTGTACAGCTTATCAGAATGAGGTGGGCTCATTTGTGTGGTTGCAGGGTATCTCCCGGTCGTATACTATCGACAAACGCCTATCCATAATTTTCTGTTTATTACGAGTATTTTTTATGTGTGTTTATTTTGCTGTCGTCTTTTATTTGGTCGTATTTGAACTAAGCCTTTACGAATTTATGAATAGGCAATAATTTACAACTCAACTCTAGATATAGAGCGTGTGACCCATAAATGCGATACGACTTCTTATATATGTGCATATATATATATATATATATATATATATATATATATATATATATATATATATATATATATATATATCTATATATATATCTATATATATATATATTTTTTTGTATGTATAAACAAATGCCTTAACATATTATTTGAACGATCAGAGCTTCGCATGTTCCCCAAGTTCGCGGAAATCTAAAAATTGCCTGGCGCCAATTCTTAACTATTCGTGATAATCATATTGCAGTCGCTAAACAAGCGAACCGATTCACGGCGTTAAATGATATATGTAGCTGAGAACTTAGTGTTTTCCTAATTAAGTTGAGGTTTCTCGGAACCGAAGTCAGTTCAAGTGCCTGGGGGGATATTCTCAGGTGTGCCGACCACAATATTCTTTATAGATATATTATATGCACATAGCATCAATAGACGATTTGGCTTACATAATTAAATTTTCCCCCTAAACGCTTAGTCATTGTTTTTATTTGTGGCAACTGCATTCATGGAATGAATAATCAGTTGAGTATTCAAAATTTGTATGATGCATTCAAGGGAACAACATATTTGCCTAGTGCTACGACAACCCCGCTCAAGTACTCAATAAATGAGAGGAAGTCGTTGTGTGCTTAGAGTTTCGATAAACTGTAGTGTGCATAGCATGGTGTGGGGGAGGGAGAGGGTGGAAGGGAGGGGTCACACGTGTGAATCGTTTATTGAACTTTGATTCGCTTATGGCTTACTTTGCGATAAAAACTAACATATTTGCATAAGTCGGGAATTCGTTAATACCTATAATGAAATGCACAAGGGATTATAAATAGCAAAGTTAACTGGAGAAAATACTAAATCAAACATTAAATAACAATTCAAATTTACATAACGACAATTTATTATCATTATTATTATCATTATTATTAATAATATTATTATTATAATTAAGTTTTATAAGACACATTTGTTCTATAAAGAAATATATATTCAAATAAAATTGATTTCAATAAAATAAAGTCCGGACCTAGAAACAGCAAATGAATTATTTTTCATTATCATTAGCATTAGTTTTATTATTACTTTTGCGTCTATTGCATGTAGCTTCAAGCTATCAACTTAACTAGCTGACTCTAGTCTGGGACTCGCACCGAGATGAATTTCGACCGAAACTGGAAGATTTCTTAACGGACCAGTGTAGATAAAGACTTTACGTTTTCTTAGTGTTCCCAAAATATTCAACCATACAACACTGAGAAAATTAACAGATGACAACCTCTTGATCCATATTGCATTATATAATTTTTGTTTTTAGCTTTACCCTTAACTTAACCCTAAACTTCCTTGGGCGAAAAGTCGGGTAAGTTTCGACCGCTCTAGAGGAGCATCTGGCTAATAGAATTGGATTAGAGTGGAGGGGAATTGTATCGGTAAATGTAGGTATAGGTAATATTGTCAAATTGTTTTATTATGTATATAATTTAATAATTATAAGTAAGTGGTATTAAATCTTAGAACGAACTCTCTAAGCTTTAAGTTAATCAAATGGTAGACCTAAATTCAGTTCAATCTTCTGCATTATAAAACTGTAATTACAACTTACATGGATTTTTCTAATATAATTTTGAATTACATTATTTTAAAACTGTTCGTTCGTACTTTGTAAATTGTAAGTCTACCTTTTCGTTTTCTCAGTATATCAATGGAATAGTCTCTGATTCGGAGCTGTTTGTACAATATATATATGTATATATATATATGTTTGTATATATATATATATATGTACGTCGAAGCTGATTGTGTCGCGTCTAATGACAGGTCAGGTATTTAGTTATCAATGGCTTGCGATTACCTTAGTATCAGGCTTATCAGCTACTCTTTCGACGCATCCACTGTTCATAACTTCGTGTCACAAAATGTGCCCCAATGACAGAAACAACTAAAACAACAACAACAACAACTGCAACAACGACAACAACATCAATAGCAACAAGAGCAGCAGCAACAACAACGCCATCATTTGATTCAGCGTATTGACTTCTTATCAGCTGGGCGGGGTCATGCCCGTGTATGAGCTGAACCTGTCAAACGATCGACGATGCCAACAACAACAACAACAACAACAACAACAACAACAACAACAACAAGCAAGCGCAATTAATTTTAATTAGGTTAAATTTCGTCTATCAACCAAGTTGGCCCGATTTTCGATTATTTTCCTAGGTTTTTTTTTCGATTTTTGTTTTACTCATTTTGCGAATGGCTCTTATCAAAATTAGGTCAACTTTTCGTGATTAGTTTTTGAAATTGCTGCCCATTCGACGTCGATGCTATCAGCTGGTCACGGAATCAAATCAGTTTTATAAATACGTTTATATTTGGCTGCATTCTCAAGGGTTTGCGTGTGACAATAAAAGTAAATGAATTATCAAAGCGAACTTCAAGTGAATTTTGCCATTTTTGCAAAAATGTCGCCATTCCGTTTTTTTTCCTGTTCTCTCTCTTTCTTTATTATATCTTTCCAAAGTTCTGTCAATAAAATCTTTGAAACGTGTTGCTTGTTAGCTTTGATTACGTAGAAACTCTTGTGCATTTCTATATTTAGGCACCGAACCCACTGAAAATGCGCGTAAAGGGTATGATGTTTTTTTCGAAATGTATGTTACAAGCAGAACGAGCTGAGTCCTTGTAGCAATGTCCGTTTGCCCGTCCGTATGTATGTGCCCGAAACTGGAAAACCCTAGAAAATGTACTTATATATGACAAATACATTCTCGTGCTTCATTCGCAGTTTGTAATTTCATTAGATTCCCATTTACCGATTTTGAAGATATAGAAAATGTCGAATAGCTTGGACGTTATAAGAGCTAGACACACAAGCTCGAATAGTAACTGCAATGTATAGATACCCCTATTTAGATACCCCTATTCATAAACCCCTACCGTTCAATAGGTTACAACAGCAATAGGAATAGAAAAATAGGAGCATGTCATTCTCATCGGACTATCAAGAATGCATTCCCGAAGTGTAGGAAAGTAAGCTGA